TGACGCCGCGTGGGGTCGACGAACGCGTCAACAAACACCCCAACAAGCCACCTATGCCAAGCCCAAATCAATTGATTGAAGCACGCCATCTGTCACTATCGCGGTAAAACATTTTTATGTTAGTTGAATTTTTCATTTACTAATATATCGTGTATCGTTTCAGGTAAGCTTGAAAAGGTTTGTTAGAATGAAGTTAATGGGCGTTGGGACTCGAACTTACGACCAGTAGCTCGGTAGCCCCAACCCAAACCTATTGGCGCGGCTATATGCGCTTCACTAAATTTTACGTTCTAAATATAAATTCGTGGCTTTTAAAGGAAAAAAACAATAGTAAAATGTTACCTTCTTTCGCTTGATTTTATCGTGGTAATATAAATAGCATTTGTGTATTTTTACGAAGCCTTCTGTAAATAACAAAAGCTAATTAAACGTAAAAACTCTATCTTCGTAAAAAATTAAAAAGTTTCACAAAACATACGTTTTCAATTTGCAGTAAAATGCATCTCTGTGAATTTTTATCGGCGTGCCCAGACAGAAAAGTTTTACGGTCGGAACATCACAATGCATCGTTGTACTTTCATTTTTTATAAAAAAGAACAACATAAATTGTAAAGCATACTTTGTATTGTTCGTGAACGACGGACCCCTTTTTTAATATCCACCTTAATCATACTTCGTCTTTGTTACGTCTACATTTCTTAACCTGTATAATATTAAAAATGTGAAAACTTTAATACTATCACAGAAGGAACACGAAAGCGTGGCCGCCCTAAACAAACCTGGCGGCGTTCAGTGGCGGCCGACTTGAAGGCAATCGGGCTGTCATGGTCCGAGACACAACGCAGAGCCCAGGACAGAGCGAGCTGGTGGCGTACTGCGTACGCCCTCTGCCCCACTTTGGGGACATAGGAAAAGAAGAGAGAGTGCTTTCGCCCGCGACTCGTCCGCGTGGAATTAAAAAATACGCCTATCTGTTCTTCCACACTATTCTCTACGTCTATGCCAAATTTCATAGATAATCGTTCAGCAGTTTAGGCTACAAACTCTAACAAACATACGTCCATTTTAATTTTTGCATTCATAATATTAGTAAGATTTAAAACTGTTCTAACTTAAAACTTTACAGTAAGAATTAACATTTGTAAAGACATCTTAACTTTGTATACCAAATATTTTACGAAAGTCATTAGAAAAAAGTGAAATTTTTATATTAAGTTTTTTTTAAGACATGTTGCAACGTCCTGGCAATTGTCGATTCAGTAACAAAAAAAGTTGTGTCCACAATATTGTAGAATTTAAGAAGCGTACAAGCTAAATTGCAGTGGTACCTTTGTTTAGAGTTTATATTTTAATTTGGAACTGTACACGTGCATTTGTAATAACTCTCCCCTCGTTATAGCGTACCCGCGGGCGCTCCTCGCTCCGGCCATCTCTAAGCACTCGCCTTAATTAGCATTGCATGATGGTGTTTAGAATAATTACTTAATTGGAATAAATAGACATTAGTTAACATAAAATTAATTAAAAAATTAGGGAAGCATTACTATAAAGTCAAAAAAATGTATTGATATAGAATAAACAAGAATAGAGTTAACAGTGGTAGAGCCCGCTTTAACATCCTCGCACGAATGGGCCGGTTCGCCTGGTGTAATACCACGACCACACAGAAAACAGGCGTGAAGTGGAAGCAATTCCACGTTTCGTCTGATGAGTGTGGTGCCGTAAGCCTAATTTTAGAAGGAAAAGAGGATTTGACGGTGAAGGAGTTGCATAGGAAGGGAAAATTTCCTCTTTATTTGCGTCTCCTCCTCCGTCAATCAATGGTAGGCAACGCATCTGCAATTGATTATGGGCAACGGTCGCTTTCCATTTCAGTGGATTCAGGTGACCGCTTGCTCGTTTGCCACCTTACATTATAAAAAAACAAAATCTCGCTATTTATGTACCTAAATTGAAATAGATCTTGCTTCTTACCTCTCTATGCAATTTTATGGTCACTGAGAAAGCCACTTAGTACTATTTTAAGATTCAACTCTATGGGAAATGGAACTACTAATAACATACTCCAAACTAAGGGTTAAATTTTATTGGTGGTTAAAACTAACATTGTAAACTTTATCAGTGTTAATTGAACATAAATATTATTGTTTATTATTAAATAGAAGTCTGTGGGATGATGAGAATTCTTATACAGTGTTATCTAAACGTTATTAAGAAACGATTGTGACGAAATCAACAGATAAACACCATTGTTAAATGAACGGAATGACGCAAGATGTGCACATCCGGACAAAACGATAAATGATTCAGACAATAATTATCAAGAAACAAAAAAAGAACGCAGAATTTGTATAAAATTATTCGATTTTTGCCCGATGTAATCGAGAAGGTATACAGTAATAATAAATATATACAAATTTTTCCGTAAGTAACATTGTTACTAAATAAATGCTAACATACAAAAATATAAAACAATAGGTGAGTAATCCATTGTTGTGAACTGCTTAAAGAACATTGTCAATGGTGTGAACTTAACTTGAAAACTGATACATGTTCGGACCTTCTAAGATTCACAATATATTTAACTGTGACCTCTCTATCAGTCTTTAATGATTATTTAAAAAGACATAAGCGACCACTAAGAGTGGGTGCACACCTTTGATAAACGCACATCGGTCGTGCGATTGTCAATTGTTTTGCAGACTATTCACTAGTTTATTTCACAACTAAAAATCGAGTAGTGTGGTCATCTTCATAAGCACATAGGAATCAAAGCGAGATTAAATATTTACGAGAGCCTACATTTTTATCAAAGACCGGCAACGCATTTGTAGTTCCTCTGGTATTGCGGATGTCCATAGGCGTCGTTATTCTCGGCGTTCTCGCCGCTCGTTTGTCCCCTTCTCTTGTATTAAAAAAACAGTTGTCCGATCTTTTAGTTTCAGGTGTGAGCACGCTCTAAATGAGTGTGACACTAAGGAACAATAAAGCCTTTGAATTTGCGATAGTTAAAAAGCGTCATGTAATTAAAATCTTTTTAATTAACATAAATGAAAAGCAAATTTTATTAACGCTTATTCTTTTCCAAAACGGTACATCAATTTGGTTTAATATGAACACACGATTACCAAACATTGTTTGTTATCTATGTAAAGTCAAAGGATCCGTCTTTAATTTATTCGCACTTCACGCTTACAAACACAAAGTACTCAGACATGTTAATGTATGACCTCGTGTCAAGCGACTCGTTTTATCTTAGACACGGCGTAGCCAGTGCAAGATTATCTAATGTGTTTTTTTAAGAAAAAAACAACGGCGAACAAAACACGTCGAGAATCTTGTCATTTGCATTAAATTGTATTCATAGTATGATTAATACGAATTAAGAATTTATGATGTCATCATCTTTTACCTACAGAGCATCGGCACAGTACACTCGCGAAAATCTGCGGTGTTCCTCTTCAGGAAAAATTGCCATCATTGCAATGAGAGACAATTAGATAACAGAGTGGTGCAAACAAAGGGATTTTAATAAAAAAGAAACACATTTAAATGTTCCGTTGTATTAGTTTTTGTTCTGCGTCTCGTTTCAAAATGTTCAAACGATTGTAGCATTTAAGATGGAACACCACAAGTTTCTTCACCTGTACCTACTCCCTATCAGTCGTCATCTGAATTCAATCGCTTCAATACGCGTCTTATTGTGAAAGATTTCTAGTAATATTACTTGTTTATGTGTCCATTATTACGTCGCTTAGATACGAAAACCATTAGTTACCATTATTAATTCCATTTTATTAAACACTAGCAGTTCCCGTGCGGCTTCATCCGCTTGGATTTATGAAAAATTTATTTTATTTTTTACATTTGTCAAATTATCAATTGCAAATGTCAAAATGATATGACAATAAGACAAACCATGGTAATCTTACTTTCTTGTGTTGGCAACAACTTATGGTCTCTTTCTCACATTAGGGTTTTTATCCAAAATATTTACCCCCTAAGTTTAATGACGTGAAAATATATAGCCTAAAGCGTGACGTAAATGTAGGGCTTCTTATTAAAAATAATAATTCAAAAATATGCTGTAATTGCTGACATCTTACGCCACAAAATAATGTGTGTTTACGCTTTATTACATAAGTATAGAAGTATAGATTATATTAGTATAGATACAGATTGATGTACCCCTGTACCTATATAATTCTATATATGTTCTATATAATATAGGAAATTTGAAGATACGTTATTCTGTCATTTGTCATAAATAATTTTAATTATTCATAAGTATATTGTTGCGAGTGTAACAGAAGTAACGCCTACCAACTTTTGTAACTTAATAAGCTCAAGGTAAAATCGATTGCCCTTGCTATCACTGCCCACCTCAATTCTATTAAAAGATCGCAAATGTGTAGTTAATTATGATGATCAACTTAAGTTTATTAGGCATAAAACATTATTTAAATAACTAAAAAATTAAACGATATTTTGATTTAGATTAATACAATCGATTTAAATATTTCGTCAATTTCAATTGGAATTAACAAATCAACATCGATTCGGCTTTTAATTTCTTTGAAGGAAATAATTGGGCTAAGTACATAATTACTATACCTGTTATTACAATAACCTAAGAAGCCATAAAAATATCGTATCGTCCTATTTTGTGACATACTTAAGGAAGGCTGTTGTTACTATTTGTAATTGATTGCCATATGTAAATGTAAAAAGAAACCTTGCTGTATACATTACTCAAATAATATTACAATTGAAATAAATTATAAGTATTAAGTTAATTTTTTTTTCTAACGACATTCAACATAAGGTAAGCAATATATTTTATGCAGCGTTGTCGAAAGTGTGCTATAGAACTACATTGAAATCACAAGAATTATAAATATCATCAAAAACAAATAAAAAATCACAGCACTGCTAAATAGTCATCCATAGCCAATGTATCGTTTAAAAACAATCATCAAAGGTAACAAGACAATGCTTACGTTTTCATTTTCTCGCGACGAAAATCACTATAAACGAAGTCCCATTGTATTCACACCACAACCGAGTTAAGAACAGCCACAGTCTACAAAAAGTTTTTACTCAATCTGTAAAGCCACTAATAACCACAGACAATGTGTACTGGCAACTAACAGTCAATAAAAAAAAATAATAATAAATTCGCGTTGTATCGAAGCGGCGCAAACGCGTGATCAAGGCTGAAGCCAGACGCCAACTCGCGTCCGCGTACACAGCGACGCCAACCACGGGGTCTATTGTGCATCGAAGCCAGACACGCGAACCCTCCCGACTAAAAATTTTCTATAGCTAACTATACCTCTGTTTCATTTTCCATTGATTTTACGTCGCCTGCAATCACGCTGTGGGCTGTGGGGAAAGTATGAAAACAAACCATTTCGATGCCTGGATATTTTCTTTTTTATCTCTTTTTAACTAAATCTCTACTCTTTCTGTGAAAAGTTTTCGGCTTTATACGTTTTTATTAAAAATAACAACACTCTTTTGTTAATTTATTAAGCCATTTAATAAAAGAAGGTTAATTTAAAAATATAAAAGATTAAATTTAGAACACAACACGCCAGCCAGTGTTGTCGCCAACTTATAGCTAGCCAATACGTTAGTAGGTTACAATTGTTTATCAAGAAGTACCGCTACTTGTGACCGGTACAACGTCTCGCAGACAGAAAGCGTCTCCTCGCCGACTCCGAATAGATATTAATATAGTTTTTATACACAATGTAAATTCGATTGTTCGGTTCAAGGTTGATTTGTAATTATATTCCGTTGAACGAGTTCGATAACAATCATTGAGCAAAATGAATTTTAATGTTTTGAACGTGCAGTTAGACTATACCGAATTTATTTTAATAACAGTATGTTTATAAATACCTCAACAAAACATGTGATCATATAATTTTCTTTTTAAGATCCATTCTATTATGCTATTGGAGTATCAAGCGTTCTTTTTATAATTCTACGCACAATATTTGACCTCAGAAATCAAATGTTGCTATCTACAAACTAACAAGATCGTCTTCCTTGTATCAAAAATTAAGTGCCATTCGGCTCCAGGATACACGATCGATATATTTCTCTAACAAGCCTCTTTTCTGACTTAGTTATCGTAACCATATTAAAATTTAATCGAATGAGATGTTTCTCGGTATACCTTTCAGACAGAATTTATTTATTACAACGTTCACTTAGACTCTTCAAGATTTTTTTCCGTAGAGTCGTGCAAGTGTGAAAGAAGTAAAATGGATGACGTAGCAACTGCAATTGTCCCACTGTTATTGTTTCACATTAAAGCACATTTGATTCCATTAAATAGGACGACATATATCGCAATAAATATTGCAAAAAACATTTTGTTAAGTACCAAGAAATGAACCGATTTTATTCAACGATTGCGAAATGTCTGATATGTTTTAAGGTACTTTTTATAGCTATTTTAAATTTGTCTTTTAATTTGGTGTCATAACATTTAAAAAAATACTTAACTAAATAAGATTTTCTTAAACATGTTACTTTGTAAGGGCATGCGAAGGATTATCTCAAAGTTCAATCGCTAAATTTCACCTCTTATCTATTCGATCCTCTTTCCCACTTGAGGTTCAAATGCTTTAAGCTATGAAATATATTGGAACGGTATTAATCACGTAAACAGGTAAATATTTTCAAAGTATTGAAAAGGGATTTCCAAAATTGAATCCTAAAAGGATGCGTTATTTTCTCCGATAAATTTTTAAACGGAAACAGATAATAATTTATGATTGAATCCTCAGAACAAATCCAACGGTTAGCTCGTATACAACGCGTCAATCGACATTCGAGAGCGCGGTGTAGTGTTACCTAAACAAGATATCATTCGTCTCTCCAACAGAATAACAGAATGATTGTAAACATAAAGTTGTAGTGTTTTTTTATTCATTTGTTGCCTCTGTACTATAAAGCTGGCTGTTTTGTTTTTAATTTTATAGATACTGAATAGACAATGTTAAAATAGAATTCAGTTTTGTTTTACTGTTCCGGGACGGCCCTTATTTGGAGATTATAAGTATGTAGTAATGGCTGACGACGGAATTAGGTAGAGATTGCGAGGGCACCCCGCACCCTCCTCCGCACCCCGCGCCCAAACGGCGGGCATCGATTGCACCGAGATGCACACGATGCACAAATTTATATCCAATTCTGATCATTTACGCCTATTGAGATGTTAGAATTAACTTAGGAAAATCAATGTTTGTAAGATATATTCCTTCGCTGGACTAAAAGCAAATAACAATAATGTAGCCTAGACTACACACATTAAACGGCTAACTATTGCTGCCAGTAATCAGTAGTTTTCTCTTTGTATTATCGAATATTTTGCCTTGTCCATAATTTCATTGCTCTTGTACAAATTGCTGCCGCTGCACTTCCACTGTTACGGGCTTTAGAGATATTGATCGGAATACGAGAGGGGAACTTGTGAGAGAGGTCAGGTAGGCTGATGAAATGTGCGATTGTTTTATTAAAATGTAAAGGGAAAAATTAATAAAAATGGCCTAATTAACTCACCTGTGTCTTACAGCAAACAGTTATTTAAAGTGACATATATAGTGCATACAGATATCGCGTATTAAATCTACACTAAGGGCTCCTCTTAGTAACCATTTAACGGCTGTGAATTTGGAATCCGTAATCATGGACGCAATTGTTATTTTTAAGAAACATTTGGTTCCTATAAAGGTTAGAAACATCTATACTTAAATGTATAATTTGTTATACATCTTACGTTATAAAAGAAGTTAATTTTATACATATGACCTGAATACGTGACCTGAATGTAATTATTGTTGTATAATGACATTGTTGTCAAGAAAATAGAACAAGTGGTACTTGAACGCAGTCTGCTCTTTTATTCAAAACAATCAAATACTCTAATACATTACATTTGATTATCATGTAAAACATTGGGTAGACTTTACGAGATTTTTTATATGATAAACCAGCCTTCATTCGGCCTTCACTTACAGGCTCTATATTATCTTACTAATATTATAAATCCGGAAGCTAAGATGGATAGATGTTGGTTAGAGTTTATAGCCTTAACTAATTAACGGATCTCGATGAATCTAGGCATAGATGTAGATGATAGTATGGAAGAACACGTAGGCTACTTACTTTTGTTTTTTATAATTACACACGGACGTAGTCGCGGGCGAAAGCTAGTAATTTTATAAACATTGAAAATTCAAAGTATTACTAATACAGTTAAAATATTTTTTGTGGCTCTTAACGCGAGTCCGTGCTCAGAACACAATTTTAGGTGCAGCGGGTCGTGAAAGGTGTTCACCTTAGACCGCCAAAATATTTGAAAAGTAATACCACTATTTCTTATCCTACGCATGCAAAGTTCACAACAACCCACCCTTTTCATAATTTACACGTAGGGTTGGTAAACAAGGGAGCGTTAGCATCAACCCCAAATAACAACCGAAGCTTTTCGCTGCGCTTTTTGTTAATTACCAACTAGGCTTAAATGAAAAGGGAGGTGCAACCTTTAACCGTCTGCGTTTGTTTACATAAAACTATGTACATAAGTTTAACCACTTTTTCTTTGCCTCTTGCTTTGTCTAAGGGACATAAAGTTATATCTATTTAATCTCTTTTATTGAATTTACACTTGTGTTTATAATCGATCTATATGGTTTAAAATACCACATGTTATATTTTTATTAGTAACATACTCGGATTATTCGTTCATATTGCAAGATACAAGAATGATTAACCTTCTTTAAGAAACCGCAAACAGCGTCGCAATCAAGTAGTGACAAATTACAAACCACAATTAACACATTAGAAATCTCCATCGTACTGTAATTGTGGACATAACCAGGTCAAGAAGCACAAGTGGCCATCCGTAACGGGAGACTAAATGTGTCACATTGGAACATCTCCGCGAAATGGTGGTCAGAATGGTGAGAGTCTACTACCTATATGGCCACAGCCTAGCGGCCAGTTGCCGGGATCTCATCTTATATGGCGAATCAGCACAAATTAACATCACATTTCAAATATTTTCCCCTCGATTAAAACGTCCAATAAATCCGTTCATTCGATTCAATCTAGATTTATACTAATGACAAAAAGCGAAATAACATTGAATAATAAACATTTTTTTAATTTCAATTTAAATCTTACTAATCTTACTAATATTATAAATGCGAAAGTTTAGATGGATGGATGGATGGATGGATGTTTGTTAGAGTTTGTAGTCTAAACGGCTGAACGGATTTCGATAAAATTTGGTATGGATGTAGAGGATAGTCTGGAATAACACATAGTCTACTCACTTTTGTTTTTTTTTTAATTCCACGCGAACGGACTCGCGGGAGAAAGCTAATAATAGATAAATCAATCGTTTTCAGTTATTTGTCTATCATTATTCGCTTTAAATTACAAAGTGCTCAATCTTTAATATGATGTCGGTAAGTTTTTTGGTAAAAATCTATTCTTAAACACTGCAAGATTTTTGCCAAAAAAAAACATCAAGATTAAGCGAGACTAGTTAACGGTTTTCGACATAATGATCTATTATACATCTTGGGACATCATACTCGTAGATCAGGGACAGTGAACCATTGACACGCGATACAATATTTTGGGCACGTCAATTAACACAAAAATTATGCACTAAAGAAAAATGTGGCATTATATGAGTAGTGTACGCAAGCAATCCTTGCTCTAAAATGTTTGTCAAAATTATTCGATGGCACTATGATCACTTATGGCACTTCTACGA